TTCCCTGGGCTTTGTGTTATGGACAGCTTTGAATATATTTGATTTTTATAGGTAGCTTTTCCTTTCTCCTTCTTTATTTCATTTATTGTGCGGAGGGGGAGGGCAGAGAGAACTAAGACTGTTTTATTCTTTTATTTTTACTAGACACCGGACACTAGACTGATCTCTAACAGCTTGTATCTAAGACCACAGGAGCAGGGCTGACCCAGGATGCTTTGCTGCTTCAAGCAACACAGAAAATGACCCCTCTCCTGCCACTACCTCTCTCCTCCACACCCACCCGCCCCCTCTGTGCCCACCCAGGCCAGCTTGAAGGTGGCAGTTGTGATGACGGCAGATGGCTGCAGAGGAATACAATAGCTGACATGGCTAACTATACGTAAGTATTGGAAGGCTTTTTCCTTGGAAAGCTTTGATGGCAGATATAATAATAATAAAACCCCAGTGAACTACAGGTGCTGCTCCTCAGCATCAATGCTGAGGTAGAGTTTATCTTGCATGGTGTTTTTTTAATCAGGGGGCTCGAAAAGGCTTACCTTATCCTGGGTTTCTCTTTTGAGTCTCTTATCATCACTTTGCTTCAGGGTTGCAATAAATTTTTGAATACAGTGGTACCTCGGGTTACAGATGCTTCAGGTTACAGACTCCGCTAACCCAGAAATAGTACCTCGGGTTAAGAACTTTGCTTCAGGATGAGAACAGAAATCTGGTGGCGGCGGCACGGCAACAGCGGGAGGCCCCATTAGCTAAAGTGGTACCTCAGGTTAAGAACAGTTTCAGGTTAAAAATGGACCTCCAGAACGAATTAAGTTCTTAACCTGAGGTATCACTGTACAGCTGTCCTTGCTAGACTGCTTATGACTGCCTGGCAATAAATATCCCTATATTTTATTGATTTATATACCACTTTTTCAGGCAAAGCTCACAAAGCAGTTTTCAGGAGATTTCTACAACAATAAGCATCACTCTTTTTAAAAAAAGAAATAAGGTTACAATAAAATGGGTAAGACAAGTTATTTGTTTAGAAATAGCTGTTGCTGCTGCTTATCCCCTCCTCTCAGGGTAAAGATGCCCATTCAGACGCCCCTGTGGTAGCATTTGTGGAAAGGGAGAGACCACGATATATAATGCTTAATATTGAGATTCTGTGTTCATTCCTTAGCTGTATTAACATGTGTTTCTATCACTGTTATCAGTTGTAATCGTCAGTTGTTCTAAAATGTTTTAATGGTCTGCTGGCTGCAGATAAAGAAAACCCTTCCATCACTGAAGTACTAATATTACTACTAATACAGTGGTAGGTTACTACTACTGTTGCTATTATTACACGTAGTACAAATATTATTACATGCATTATTACATATTGCTAATATTACATGTCCATCTGAAATTGCACCAGATCAACATCTCAGATTCGGTTGTTGGCTCCTGTGAATATGATGCTGAATTCCAGGAATGAGGGTTTTCTCCCTCCCTCTCTCTCTTCTAACCTTGCCACCCACACATCACATTTTTTCATTGCCTGGAATTAAATTTACCTGAACAGGTGGAATACTGAAAGAAGGAAGTGCTTCATGCTTTATTGAGAAGTGGGCAGGACAGTGATGGAAGGGAAGATGGATATTTATAAGGCGCTTGAGGCAGCCTGCAGAATGGGGTCTCCAACTCTTTTCCAAAGCAGCGTGTCGAGATCTGAATCACCTCAGCGAGGTAAGAGTCTGTCGACTTCTCTTTGAAAGCTATTGCCTAAGTAACATTCTTCCATCACCACTGTGATGAAGAGGATAAAGCAGTTCCTTTGAATCAGAAGGACTTGTTTTCATATCCTCACTTAGGGATGAAACTCACTGGGTGGTTTTAGGCCAGATATTCTCTTGTCAGTCTAGTTTACCTCACAGGGTTGCCCTGAGGGTAAAAGGATTTAAGGATTTATGTCCCCTTAGCTCCTTGGAGAATGAGTAGGATATAAATGTAATAGATGGGTAGTTCCCAAACATTTTCTGCACCACAAACGTTTTGGGGAAACACCTAATGCTTTTTCTGCCTGTTGTAGCAATTGTAATGCCCTGTGCTGCATGATTTTTTAAATTGTGAACAATACAACAGTAGAGGGAAAGTTTAGTTCCTCGACTGGTGGCTCCATTTTGGCTTCTTTGGGTACCTTCCAGCAGATGTGGCTTTCCAAGCAAGAATGCAAAGCAGGAAAGCAATGTGCAGAAAGGAAATGCCCATAAAAATCTGTGATTAAAAATAAATTTAAAAAAACTGCTGCCTTCTCCAGTGCTTCTAATATTGGACAGCTTTAGCATACTCAGGAATCCAAAGTTTTATGTCTCTTTTGTAGGATATGTATACTTTTTTGTGGCTTCTGCAATTTCCATTGCTCCTTTTGTTTCATATATATTGCATTTTATTGTATTACTCAGATTTTGAATTGTAAAAATCACAATATATAAAATCAAAGAAGCAATAAAAAAATAACTAAAATCAGCATGAAGACTTAATGCGATGGATGTGCCACATCACAGATCCACAGACGTGGCATGGAGCACTTGAATGAAGCTCATGGACCACAGTTTAGAAACCTCTGGTGTAGAGGATGCCGTGTTTTCCTTGAACCCGGATGAGCTGATGTGTGATGTAGAGCAAGGGGTTCACAAAGTGTGATCCATGGACCACCGGTGGTCCGTGAGCTTCATTCAGGTGGTCTGCAGCATGTCTGCATTCAATATTCATCTTTTTTTATTCCTTCTTTGATCTCTTATATTATATCTGATTGCATTGCAGTTTGAATTCCGTAAAATGCAACATAAGAAATAAAGGAAGCAAAGACGATACAATTAAAAATCATACAGCATCGAGCACAGTACATTAAAATTGTTACAAGAGGCGGGGGAGGGGGGATGATGACATGGTCCGCAAAGACCACCAGCAGTTTTCAAGTGGTGAAAAATGTTTGGCAGCAACTGATGTAGAGTGTGATGGAGAGCTGATGGAGATAGCAGCTCGGCTTCCTTTCTCTCCTTTTACTAGAGCCTGATGCTGCCAGTTGGGGGAAGGAGGACACTGATGGAGGTAGTCTTTCAGTAAAGCCATTGGGGTTAGAATAAATCCCCAATCCCAATGTCCATGGTGTTACCACTAGCAGCACAGACAACTATGCTGACATTCACGCTCATGATCAGGACACGAAAATTCAAAAGAAACTATGAGCCGTTCCTTCTTGATCAAAAAGGAGTTGGAACATAGGAGAAATCCTCACTAGAAGGCTATGCTAGGGCAGTAATGTTTTTTCCCCAGGTAGGGATAACACAGAAAGTTATCCCATAGATGCAACATCTTTTTGTCATGTGCAAAAGGGTGTTACAGTACGGTGGTACCTCGGGTTAAGAACTGAATTAGTTCTGAAGGTCCGTTCTTAACCTGAAACTGCTCTTAACCTGAAGCACCACTTTAGCTAATGGGGCCTCCTACTGCTGCCGTGACGCCACCGCACGATTTCTGTTCTCATCCTGAAGCAAAGTTCTTAACCCAAGGTACTATTTCTGGGTTAGCGGAGTCTGTAACCTGAAGCATCTGTAACCCGAGGTACCACTGTACTGGCAAACATGGGCAAAGATCTTTGACACTGTTTCAAAGCAAGCGACAGCTACTGTTGCAGTTGCTCAAGTTTGATGCGGGTTAACGTTAAGACCAAGTTTCTATCTCTCAGAAAATGTGCTGGTTTGGAAAACTCCTTTTCTTGGCAACTGGTTGCTTCCTTGCACATGCTCTGCCGCATGCCAGAACCAATGAGGAAAACTGTCCCACGGTGAGGAGGTTGCGTGAAACTTGGAAAGAAATTGAAAAACTGGTAAGTTGCATTGGCACCGTTATGTGTACACCAATCTTTGAGAGACTTGGGTTTGGTTTCCTTGGAACAAAGGTCACCAGAGACTGAGGGAGTTTTCGGTGATAGAAGGTTTTTAGAAGGGGGGGGGTATAGTCAGGGCTTCTTTTTCAGCCAGAACTTGGTGGAACTCAGTTCTGTCACCTCTCAGGTGGGCACCATTACCATTCTAAGAGAAAGAGGGTGGTTTTCATGGTGAGTTCTGGTACCTCTTTTTCTAGAAAAATAGCACTGGCATAGTGATTAGTGTGTTGGGCTAGAACCTGGGAGGTGGGGGTTCAAATCCTTGCTCCACCATGAATCACACCAGGGGACCCTGGGCTAGTCATAGTCTCTTGGCCCAACCAACCTCAAAGGGTTAATGTGAGGATAAAATGGGGAGGAGGAGAACCATGTATGTCACCTTGAGATTCTTGGAGGAAATAATAAGGGAAAACAGATAAACAAAAATAAGGCGGGAGCCTCACAGAATTAACTCTCCTGCTCCCCTGTTTGGTATCTGCTCTGCCATTAGATTTCTGTAGGGGGTCACCAAAGGCATAGCTTTGGGTTCTCACAGAGAAAAGCAGAGCAGTTCTAGAACCAAAGATGTTTGTTTGCTTTGTTCTCTTTCACATCACCTCTAGTCAGAGGAGGAAGGGAAGCCCCCTTCTGCTCACCTTCCAGAAGGTTCTTTAGCTTTTAGTTCCAGTGACAGCAAATCACCTGCACTTGGCCTACTTTCTGGATAAGCAAAGACCCATTTCCCCCAACAAAATGGAATGTGCCAAGCTATCTAGTTAACAAAAGAAATTATTTTGACCCTTTCCCCCCCAATCCTCTTTTTCTACAGGGTCAGAAAGAGCTGTAAAATTTCAGAGCTGGAAGCACAACACTATCCCCTCACAATACTATAATATTACAAAGAAGCCTTACACTTTCAATGATTTACCGGCTGCCTTGACCTGATTTGTTTTTGTTCTGTTTTTATGAACCATTGTTATGTGTTTAAATGGTGTTCCTTTTCGTTTTGTCAACCTTCTTTTCCTGATCTAAGAATGGAGGAGGCTCATCTCAGGAATGCACATTTATGAACAAAAGCAGTTTGTGTGAACCAGCACAGATTGTGAAAATGGTAAGATGTTAAGCTTCAGTTATGCATTGTAACCCTTCTGTTGTTAAATGTTTTCGATGTAAGCCATGATATCAGCCTACTGGCTGAAAAGTGAGATAGAAATAAGTAATAATGCATTTTCAATGGGTATTTGTTTATTTCAGCAATTTATATACTGCTTCATTACAAGAATCTCTAAGTGGTGTACAAGTAACTCAAAACAATAAAAATAAAATATATTCTCCACCCTCATACTTTTAAACAAGTTTCACAAAGTAGTAGTCCATCTCAGTGGATTTTGTAGGAACAGAAAACACCCCAATTTTTTTTTAAGTACAGTTCTCTAAATTCGGGGTAGTAGCCAGCACGATACTCCCCAAATATTATGCGCTAAAGCTCCCAGGATCCTTGGTGATGCTGGTGGCAGCTGATGTGAGCTGCAATTCAACATCTGAAATGCACCATTTGGGCTACTCCCTCCTCTAAATCGTTCTTTTAACATTTATTTTGCAGGGTGTCTCTGATAAAGCAGCTATTGTTCTTCAAATCCTCAATGAAACAGCTACGCTCTTTGAAAGGAAGGACGTCCCCTTCTCCAATGTGAGAGGTGTTCTGGAGTATATCTATTATGTACATGATCAGCTAAAACCTTGTGTAAGTACTAAGAATTATTTTCCTAAGGAGTTATTATGGCAACATGAAGCAGAATGAAACTTGGTGTGCAGAAGAAACAGAGGGTAAGACAAAATGAAACTTGGATTTGTACATGCCTGTCTCTCTGTTAATATAGGTGTGTCCACATGGCATATTCCCCAATGTTGTCCCAGACCTTTCTCCTCTTTGAAAGTGATTCCCCAGGCCCTGGCCCTTTTGAGTTTTCTAAGTATGGGGGGGGGACATATTTAAAGGAGAAAAGGTCTGAGACAACACTGAGTAGCCCCTAAATTTATGGGGAGACAGACAGATGCAAATCCACATTTTGCTCCAGTGTTGACAAGCCCAGAATGTGCATATTCCACACTTTAACTGCTATAGCATGGGTCGGCAAACTAAGGCCTGTGGGCTGGATCAAGCCCAATTGCCTTATGGATCTGGCCCACGGACGGTCCGGGAATTGCCGCATGGATTGCCAGCGCATGCGTTCTTTCCCTCTCCCTCCCTCTCCCTCACACGGCGGCGGTGACGCCTCCTCCCTCCTCCTGGCTTCTCCTGGCCCTGCCTAGAGGAGGATGGGGCCTGGGCTTTGTTGGTGCTAGCAGCAGCAGCGCTCAAGTGGCCGCCATTTTAAGCAGTCCCTCTCCAGAGCCCTTTCTCGCGCCACTCATTGTGCCACCGCCACCAGCCCCTGCCACTTGCAAGACACAGGTAAGCAGTGTGGACATTTCACCCCTCCCATTGCAAGAATCTCATGATGTTTTCAGAAAGGAGGGAGCGGAATCTGCTCATCGCTTCTTCCGCTCCAGCCTGACTCTTTAGGAGTCTGAGTGTTATCTGTGTAGAGATAATATGACTGCATAACGAACAGTAACACTCATGCAGTCCAGTAGCCTCTGTTAGTCTTTAGTTTGTAGTTTATTTCTAGTTTGCAGTAGCTGTAAAAGAATAAAGAAGTTAAGCTTCAGAGCCGTCGTTTGTGTAATTCATACTCTGCTGTGCTCTGCTGACTTTGGTGCTGAGTTCAAAGTTGTGAGTCCATTGCATTTAGACCTCTTTTCCTGAGTGGAAGGTCTCTGGAAGTGCTTCCCAGCTTGCCTAGTCCAATCAGGGCACTGGGGCTGAAGAGGTTGAGCCCAGTCATTGGCACTGGCTCAAAAGCGAAGCTGACAAGCAGCCACCGGGGCTCATGGTGCTCTTGCATTTATTTATTTATTCAAAATATAGACCAGCCCCCCACAAAGGTCTGAGGGACAGTGGACCAGCCCCCTGCTGAAAAAGTTTGCTGACCCCTGTGCTACAGGGAAGTCATTTGTCTTCAGTTTACTCTATAGCAGAGAGCTGAATAGAAACTGAGACTCCAACAGCCAATCTCCAAATACCACCTCTCTTTCTTTTTTCTTCAGAGGTGGGAAACAACGTGTTCTTGCCAACTATGCTAGTAAGGATCTGTGTTCAAATTCTCTTCCCACTTAATTTACAGCTGCAATCCAAAACCAGTCTTCCTCTGATGGACAGCCCGATAGAAGATTGTTTCAAAAAGCTGCAGCTATTTTTGAACGATGTAAGTAGACTGAGCGTCTCTTCAACAAAGCTTTTAATTCTAGGAATGCTTCTAACTCATTCTGAGTTTATAGCTGATCACGTGGGCCAACTGCGCAAATCAAGAATGGGGCACTTACAGGTCTTCCAGATGTTGTTGGACTCTAGTTGCCGTCATTCCTGAGCATTAGCCAAGCTGGCAGGGGCTGATGGGAGCTGGCATTCAACCACATCTGGAGGGCCACAGGTCCCCCATCTCTGCCATAAATGATTTCTCAAGGTCCATGGTTCCCAAACTTTGTTTCCCGTGGACCACTAGAAAATTGCTGAGGGTTTCCACAAACCACTGAGTGATTTTTTCTGCTTGTTGTAGAACTTGCAATGCACTGCGCTAGATGCAATGTGATTTTTAATTGCATTTTTATTGCTTATTTTATTTCTGTGTTTTATCGCATCAGAATTTGAATTCCATAGAGGCCAAATTGTAATACTGTAAAATTCAGAAGAAGAAATAAAAGCAGCAATAAAAATACAATTAAAGACTCAATATCAATATTTAATGCAATAGATGTGGTGTCTCCACAATTTTCAACCACAAATGCACAGACACATCATGGACCACCAGAATGAAACTCATGGACCACAGACTGGGAAGCTTTCATTGATGTTTTGCTGCCACCTCCCACTAGACTGCCTCATCACCAGGGTTTTCCAGATGACAGCTCATTGTTTTCATATGGGGGGTGGGGGCAGGGATAAAGTGTGCCTGTCCCTATATCTGCATATGAGGTCCTTTAAAAAGAACAGGATTGTTGTTATAATATGATTTTATCACCCACCCTTTGCCATAAGGGTGTGTTATAACAATTTCAAACACAATATTTAAAGCGGTTTTAAACAAAAACTACAGTCACAAGGACAGAGTGGGTCCTAAATATATAAGCCTACCTGATTTCAGTAGTGTACCTGAAATTCCCAAACAAAAATTAGGAGGGAAATTGCTCTCCTGATCAGATCCCAGCCTTGCAAAGCCGTGCAGGGCTGGTTTGGGGACAGCGGTGTGAGCATTGCACCCCCCCAATGCATTTGGCAGCCCCCCCCATGCTACACCCCTGCTCTCAGCCTAGCCTACCTCAATTGGGGATTCAGTTGGGAGGAGAACTATGTATTGAGCTCATTGGGGTATAAGTACCAAAAATAAATAGCAAATGAACCCAAGAAAACCTTTACCATTCTTCCTTGTTTTTAGACTGTTAGCGGTCCTGGGAAAGTAGGATATCAATGTTTTAGATAAATAAATACCGTATTTTTTCCGTGTATAAGACTACTATGGTACCTTGGGTTAAGAACTTAATTCATTCTGAAGGTCTGTTCTTAACCTGAAACCATTCTTAACCTGAAGCACCACTTTAGCTAATGGGGCCTCCTGCTGCCACCATGCGATTTCTGTTCTTATCCTGAAGCAAAGTTCTTAACCCAAGGTACTATTTCTGGGTTAGTGGAGTCTGTAACCTGAAGCGTCTGTAACCCGAGGTACCACTGTATATTTTTTCCTGAATTTTTGAATTTTAAAATAAGGGATCGTCTTATACATGGATAGTGCCTGGTGCATTTTCTTAATTTTGAGTCCCCCCAAAATAGTCTTATACACGGGGGCATGTTATATACAGAAAAATGTGGTAATACCTGCAACAACATATTCCACCAGATAACTAAAATGGACCCTTGACTATATGGGAGTAAACAAACCACCTGCCAGAGAGCAGCACAGTATATAAAGGGCTGTAAAGCGGGTAATAAATATAGAAACCCATTAACGAGGATTCTTTTTTTTGCATGTGTTTGCCTCGCTTGAAACAGGGGAGCAGTCACTGCACTTGGCAAGTGGCTCGCGAAGATGTCATGGTGGTTTTCCAACAACTTGAACTTGACATTTCTGCTTCACGGCATCGACAGCGTAGAACTGAGGTGAAGAATCTTCTGCTTCCATGAGTCGGCCGATGCTGCCACACAGCCTTGTAGCATTGAATATACCTGTACAATAATATTTGTTTCCAAAACTAATTATAATAAATATATTTTGAATAGAACATCAGGTGTCATTCATTTGCTCCATTTCAGGGCTGGGGAAATGTTTTCATCTCAAGGGCCACATTCACTTCTGGGCAATTTTCCGAGGGCCACATGGCAGTGGTGGGTGGGAAAGTGGGCAGGACAACCAATGTGCAGTTTACCTTTCTACAGTACGCTAGTTTCTACACAAACTTTTATTGGCCAGAAGATATACTGGCAAGCTCTTTGACTATTTCTTACTTGTGTGCATTGAATTTGTTTGCAAACTACTTTTCCCAGCAGCATCATTAGCAAATTTATTTGCAAGCAACTTGTTGTTGCTGCTTTTTTCTTTCATCATAATTGTTAAGTTTACGTACAAAATATAAAAACTACTTTTTTATTCAAAGTGCAGAAAGTGATGTACAATCAACTCAAGTTAAAACAACACACACATACACAAAGAGAAATCCCAATGGAAGAAAAATGTATCCTAATGTTATAAGGAAAAAAACTGCTCCCTTTCCCTTATGGGGTATTCCAGAGCCCTTATAGCAGGGGTCGGCAACCTAAGGCCATGGGCCACAAGTGGCCCACGAGAGTCATTTAACCAGCCCATGAGTCACCTCCGAATCGAGCTGCCCACAGATGCCAGAAATCGCGGGGGCACACACAATCCAGTCACCAGAGGGATCTCTGCTGGAGTGAACCGGCCCAGGCAAGGTAAACCTTGCTGACCCCTGCCTTGTAGAATCCTTAAGTGGGTTCCCTATCGGTAGGAGAAAAATAACAGAGGCCAACCAGAGTACAGTGGTACCTCGGGTTACAGATGCTTCAGGTTACAGACGCTTCAGGTTACAAACTCCGCTAACTCAGAAATAGTACCTCGGGTTAAGAACTTTACTTCAGGAGGGAGGCCCCATTAGCTAAAGTGGTACCTCAGGTTAAGAACAGTTTCAGGTTAAGAACGGACCTCCAGAACGAATTAAGTTCTTAACTTGAGGTACCGCTGTATATTGAGAAGCAAAGTGGCTAGTAAGCCTGGTCTTTATTGAAGGGAAATAAGCTGTTGTACCATGGTCCCCACTCACCACATGCAGGAGTAACGTAGTATCAGCAACAATATGAAAACAAAGCAAGCTAAGTAAGCCCAGGGAAATGTCATTTGAAACAGCCAAATTGTAATTCGGGGGGGGGCATAAAATGATGGAAATAAGTTGTACATTGCAAAGCTCTCTCACTGTTGTTGTTATTGGTTTATTGCTAAAATGTTCAAAGCAGTTTCTTTGTTGAGTAAATGGTCCTAGCTAGGTCTGCTAAATATCTGCTTTGTTATGTAGAAACGAAATAGCTGGGAGATAAACAGAAGGGGGTATGCGTTTTCTCCTTCCCCTGGCTGTGGTCATCATGGGTGCCAGTGTATGAAAGGGAACAACAGGCTGGTAGTCTTGTCATGGAATTGGCTTGGAAACAGAGAGACCTAATTCTCTCTCTGTAACAATCTAGTGCCATGACATTGGGGAGTCCACTCCTTAGACACCTATTGGGAGATATCTGCTGTAGTGCCAATGCTGTGAATCTTCCACCTTATGCTCAGCCCATAGATAAGTGTAAACAAGCCATATATCACAGGAAAACCCCATCTACCTCCAGTGACCTCCATTCCAAGGAAACCCAACCCAACATATGAGCTTGGACTCTTGAGATCTCTCACCGCTTAGAAATTAGGGTACACCCAATTTTATTTTGGGAAATTAATTAATAGCACTTAAGGCATATTGGTAAAGGACAATATTAGGCTAAGTGGGCAATAGGATAGAGTCAGGGTAAGGCAACTCGTAACTTTGTTTGGAACACTGTCCTTAACACTATGCAAAGATTTGTTGGCTCCCAAAACTTTTACTGAGTTTGATTCTGCAGAAATTGTTGTGCTCCAACTCCCATGAGCCCAGCTAGCATGCCAGGGAAAGTAGGAGTTTAATTCAGCACCTTCTATCCAGAGGGTCATACAGTTTCCCTAACCCTGTTCTAAGTACTTAAAAAAAATCGGAAAGCATAATTTTGTACAATATGACTCGTTGTAACGCATGTCTATTGATTTTTCTAGCAAGGCCAATAAAATAACATTCCAAACTTGGCTAATGTGTGTGAAAATACGGAAGGGGGTCATGAGAAGGAAGTTTTGACCAAATAAATCAGAAATACAACATCTCCTGGACTGCAGATTACAATAAGCTCATCTTTTCTGCGCCACCATGTGGTTTCAAGCAGGAGGGAAATCTGGAAAAGAAACCAATGTCGCTGTTTCAGAGCCAGGCTATATATGAAACTCACCACATGAGAGCAGTCTGGAGCTGTCTATGGAGAATGACTTCCCCGCTGAAAGAGAAAATGAGAGAGGAGACTACAGTAAAATACCAGGCTGGGAAGAAGTCACTGGCTGCTCTGTTCTTTCTTATACAGTGGTACCTTGGGTTACAGACGCTTCAGATTACAGACACTTCAGGTTACAGACTCCGCTAACCCAGAAATAGTACCTCGGGTTAAGAACTTTGCTTCAGAATGAGAACAGAAATTGCGTGGTGGCGGCGTGACAGCAGCGGGAGGCCCCATTAGCTAAAGTGGTACCTCAGGTTAAGAATGGACCTCCAGAACGAATTAAGTTCTTAACCCGAGGTACCACTGTACTCTTCCCCAGTCCCCCCCCCAAACACAGCAATTTGAACTCTATAAACAACTCTAAACCAAGAAAAGTGTAAAAACTATTAAAAGTGGGCTCATATATTAAACAGTTAAAAACAACTCCATATGCAAAATTTAAAAACAATTCCACATAAAAAAACAGCTAAAAAATAAGATCCAATACTATTACTAAGCTCCAAGTGGTGTGAGGTTCAGGGTTTCCCAAACTTGGGTCTCTAGCTGTTTTTGGACTAAATCTCCCACCATCCCTAGCTAGCAGGATCAATGGTCAGGGATGATGGGAACTAGAGTCCAAAAACAGCCTGAGACCCACTAAGCTGTGACAACATTCACATGAACTGCTAAACGTTTCTTACATTATCTTTTTGGCAGTTTTGTGTCCTCAGTGGTATTTCTCCACTTCTTCCTAAGACTGGAATTCTTTTCCTCCCTCTATTGATGATGCTTCACTCTTAAAAAATACTGTACTTCTTTTGACGAATTAATTTTCTCTTGCTTTATCCCCTCTGACATTTCTCTTCTTTGTGTGTGTGTGTGTGTGTGTGTGTGTGTGTGTGTATTGCATATATCTCAACCAAAGGAAATTTCCATCAATTTGTAACACTGCTTGTCCATTTTTATGAAGGCATTTGCTTTTATAAATTACGCATTATCTCCTCCCATACTATCTGATTCCCCTCTCTGTTCTTCCTGCTCTTTTCCAATTGTGTCATGACTATTCTTAGATTGTAAGCCTTGAGGCAAGGGAACAGTCTTTCTGTAGTATTTTGTTTAGTTTAAGCACCATCTCCTGCCAACCTAGCAGTTCGAAAGAACAAAGTGCAAGTAGATAAATAGGTACCACTCTTTCCGTGCACTGCTCTGGTTCGCCAGAAGCGGCTTAGTCATGCTGGCGACATGACCCGGAAGCTGTACGCCGGCTCCCTCAGCCAATAAAGCGAGATGAGCGCCGCAACCCCAGAGTCGGTCACAACTGGACCTAATGGTCAGGGGTCCCTTTACCTTTACCTTAAGCACCATCTAGGGTCGTCAGCCTTGTTGGGTGGCGGGGGGGGCATTTTGAAATCTTAAGGAACTGTAAGGGGTACCACAAAATACCCATTTCACAGAAGGGAAGCAGGCAATGCTCAGATTCCTCTCCCCCCCCCACCCCAAACAAAACCCCAATAGGAAGAACTCCTACATCACCCACAAACAACAAGTAAAATACAAGGGAAAGATTACTGTATTTTAATATTTTGTTGGAAGCTGCCCAGAGTGGCTGGGGAAACCCACCCAGATGGGTGGAGTATAAATAAATAAATAAATAAATAAATAATAATAATAATAATAATTAAATAGGCAAGCCCTCCAACAAAACAACAACAATAAAATTAAAAAGAAAGACAAATAAGAACAGGGGTTTTTGTCAAGTTCCAGTAGTGTGTGTGAGGGCACTGTGGAGCCTATGGTTGCCACACTTGGGACACCAGCACTATAATTTGGGTTGCCAGATCAGGAGCATCCCAGACCCTGAGACTTGAAGGCTCAACCCTGAGACATGAGGAATGTCATGGGGTGGGCCCTGGAGATGGAGGTTAATTGGGAGAGGGGAGCAGAGAAGGGCAGACTCCTCCACCAAAGTGTCTGACAATTTATGGTGTCAGTTATAAATTATGACAAGGCATATTTCTGACATGTTTAAGGGCAATATTCAATGAAGGAGAAAGTGCTACTGGGACAGCAGAAACAGCCTTGAAAAGAACTGATGTTATATACTTAGGAGTCTTCTGGGAGAACTATATGATTCAAAAAAGAAGATAAAGTAGTTTGAGCTCAAGTATAACCACATCTTCCTGCTCAGGAGTCTGACAAAGAAAACCGGAAGAGGCAGGGCTTCCTGCTTTCTAAGTAGTTGACATTCTGACACCCTTATCTGAATGGAATAGGAATAGGGATAGTAGATTTCTTTAAACAATTTACTTGTTGGCCTTTAACCAATTAATCACTTACATGCAGACAAATTTACATGCATGTATCCTAAATAACTGTCTTTTCTAAAATCCTGACAGAAGGGGACAGTTTCTGTTACAAGTGAGATAATATTCGAATTTAACAAAAAACTACACTAATCTTTTTGAAGAACAGGATATCTTTATAATGATCATTTGCAGTTATGAGGTATTTTAGTGTTTTGATTTCTTCTTGAGACTAATGGCCACCTTATCCTTTCTTATTTCTGATTCTATTATATTCCT